TTTTTTTTTTTTCCCCCTTTTCTTCATGTTAGTCTTTTGGTTTAATTCATTTAGGATTATTTCCTTCTTTAAAAGGTAAAAATGAATTTTTTTTTTTCTGCTGAGAAGAGGCTGGCTGCCAAAGAGCAGTTAGTGAAGGACCAGGGAATCATTACTCAAAAAAAAAAAACCCAAAAAAACAAACCCAACCAAAAAAAAAAACCCAAAACCCAACCCCAAAACCCGGGGATTTGTGGTAGCAGTTTAATTTGTGCACTTGACCTTGCAGATTGGAACCAGACGCGGTGCTCGCTGGGGGAGGGGGCACACTGGTGGCAGTAGGTGGCAGAGTGAGTTACTGCTTGAGCACATCACCTCTGCCAGCCTTCCTCCAGAAATGTGGGAGAAGACCTGGGATCGCCCCTTTGGTTCTCCAAGGATGGTGTTAAATGCCAGCACATCTTCAAACAGCCTCGCTAATACTATTAGCATTCGCTTTCCCTTTGCCCGAGGACTGGCCCACCCTTGGGGAAAGGTTGTCCCGGATTTAATGAGTTTAGAACTAGTCCAATTATAAGCATCAAAACTCTTTGCGATGAGCGTATCAGAGCACTGCTGGGCACCGATCAAATGATGCACTTACTTAAAAAAAAAAAGAGATAAACCTTCCTCTTGCCTCCCCTGCTTTCCCTAAAGCCAGAACAATTAAAGGGTATGAAGCTGAACAGATGATGGATAAGCAACATTATAATACACACAGGGAAACTGATTGCATTGACCGTGGGTTAATGAGTGCCTTACAAAATAATTTCTTATTGCTTATTTTATGCCATCAAATTACCTTCATAAATAGCCCTAAAATTCATCTCACCAGCAATTTTATACAATTATAATGGGAGAAGAGGAAGAATTACTCTTCCTTCCTGCTGCACTGCAAAACTAATAAAAGGGCCCTGATCCCAGCCCTGGGAATCTTGCTGCCTATATGGTAGACTAGAAGCTCATAATGTGCAGCAGAAAAAGGCGGTTCCCACACTACGGGCACTTGTTGGCAGAGCTGTTTTGTCCCATTGTGTGAGCAGATGTGATCTTTGACTAACACCGCTGTGGTGGCGAGCGTCCCCCGTTACACTGCCAAAGCTGTCCTTTCACCCAAGTGGCCCGTTTCATGCGTGCAGGTCTGGCTTGACCATATCGTACGATAGAGGTTTGTTGTCACAGCTGTGCTCCTGCAAAGGAGCGCTTTGCCAGCGTAATGTGTTGGTCTTCCTGAACTGTGGAACGTGCTCCTTGTGTAAAACTGGCTGGAAGAAGCTGGAATGAAGTGACTGCATAATTCTTCAGTTTAGTATTTATCCAGAGCATCTGTCTGGAATTTCAGGGCTTTGTTCTGTTTTGTATTTTTTAATAAAAGAACAGCAGCGAGGTATTTCCGTGATGCTTAGATGGAGAAGAGTGATTGGAGCCCCTTCACGTCTGCCTCGCTGAAGGAGCTGATGTTTGTCTTGTTTTCCAGAACTGCTTGAGGAGGAGGGATGCCGGTCTGCTAAATCAGTTACAAGAGCTAGATAAGCAAATAAGTGATCTCCGCCTGGACGTGGAAAAAACAACAGATGAACACCTTGAGACAGACAGTCGTCCAAGTTCAGGTAAGGCCAATATTCAGCAACGTGGAGCCTCCCTTGGTACCTGGAATGAAACTGTCTGTAGTTTTCAGTACTACAACAGTAAATGTCTGTAGCACATTCACACTCTGATAATTAATGCCTACTATTAAAATTCACAACATATTCAGAGGAGCATTTCAAGCTTAATTAGATTTTTAGTTCAATAAAGTTCTAATTCTCCTGCATATTAAGAAGGAGGCTGCAGGAAAAATGGTGGAAGGAAGCACCACCAGCAGGAGGAAGATGTCAAAACTGATCTTACAGCCAGAAGGGAACACTGAATCAAACAATTTGATTTCCCATATATTGAATTTCATCCCATTCTAACTGTGTTGAAGTCACTAAGTGGTATTTAACTATGGGGAACATTTCTCAGAGGCATCTAAACTAGTTCTGAAGACACTGAAAAGTAGGGAATCCACCAACTTGTAGTTGCTAAAACCATTGCTCATTTCTGATCTGAATTTGACTTGTTCCACCACTGTGGTGTTGGGGTTTTTTTTATTATGCTTTTCTCCCATAGACTAAGGTACCCAGCTTTTTCTCCTCTGGGAGGTGCTATACAGTATAATTCCTGACTTTTTCTGATGAGCTAAACAGGTCAAGTTCATTAAGTCATTTGTTTTAAGGCATTTTTCCAAGCTCTTAAATAGCGTTGTGGCCTCTTTCCAATTTTTTAGCTTTGTTTTACACATGCTGGAGTCAAGGACTAGGCATACCTTCCAAAATCTTTCTTACCAGTGCTGTATAGACTGCTGAAGTCATTTCCCTACTGCCGTTCATTAGTCTCTTTGTACATCCAACAATCTCATTAGCTTTTTTGCCATATCATTAAGCTTGATGGAGCTGCTTTTCCACGCTGACTAAGCCCTTTTCAGGATTATTGTTTTCCAGGATGCATCCCCATTCTGTAGAGATGCCCTGCATTCCTTTTTCCTAAATTTAAATCTTGATTATGGTATGTCATCTTTTTCTTGAGTAGACCCAGTTTACCAAGAAATAAAATTTTCTGTGTCTGCACATTATTTACCATTTTCCTTCTTTCTTGTTATTCAGTATTTATCTCCAGAACTTTGATGAAAATAATGGGCAGCACTGGGCCCAGCACTTAGTAAAAATTTTGTAGCCTAGTAACAGCTGGAGAGTTTGTCTTGGAAGTATAATACAGTATTAAATGAGTGGGGTGTCAAACACAGCCTGAATCATTCTTGCTAAAATCTGAAACCCCCTGTAAATGTTAAAAGCCCAACTCCTGTAAAGGTTAAAAAAAAAGTTCACAATTTCACATGCTAAGTTCTGCTTTTTTACTTTTAAGTGCCTTACTTTTAAACGGAATCCTTCATAGCAATAAGGATATTACTAAATCGTGCGCTGTATTTTGGGTGACTGAACGAAATCCCATAACTAATTGCTGTAGAGTAAGCCAACATAAACATGATCTTGACTGCCTTTCTAGGGACACAAATGGTAACTTTGTGTAGACATAACTAATATAAATCCAAACTCTTATTTTTATAGGGTTTTATGAGCTGAGTGATGGAGCTTCTGGATCGCTCTCCAATTCATCTAACTCTGTCTTCAGTGAGTGTTTATCCAGTTGCCATTCTAGCACTTGCTTTTGCAGCCCTTTGGAGGCAACACTGAATATCTCAGATGGACGCCCTAAATCTGCAGGTATAGTAAAAGCAGGTCGAGTACATCATACTCCAGGAGGTGGCTTTGGCTTTGGAAATACTGCCTCAGGAGTATCTGGGTTGGATTAACCCTTCTTCCTTTCATTTGACATATTGTGCTCTGAAAAGATTCCAGTGCCTCTCATGTACATGGGTCATGAGGCAGGAGTGTTTGCCCTTCACTCTAAAAGCATGAAAATAACGTGAAAATATGACAGCTGCTCTACCCAGTAGAGGGCAGTGGTACCTATACACATAAACGTAGTCAGCTAATTTCTCATGGTTTCCTTTACTAAATAGCAATAATGATGATAATAATAGCATTTTTACTAAATAGCATTAATGAGAGATGCCTCAACAACCACATCCTCATTAAAGTGACAGACTAAGGAGCTAGCTACAGGTTCTTAGGAGGTCAGGGTGCACGTCAAGCTGTTTGTAGAAGTCATTTTGTCAGTTCTGATGGTCCTCAACCCCCAGGTGACCACACTGAGGCGTGTCCTGCATTTATATAGTATAGATAAATAGGCACCATGAACAGGGAGAAAGTATTTTGTCTCTTTGGCAGAGAGCTGATGAATTTCCTTTGACACTAGGCTGAAGATGCAAGCCTTAATGTGTGGGATGGTTAAATAGGAAAGCCTCCTCTATCTGTTGTCTAGAAAGGACACTTCAGTAGGACTTCTGTGATCGAGCATTGTTGGTTACAAACATACTCATAAAAAAGCCTTAGTTCATTCTGAGTTGTGGAGGATGCTTCCAACAATAGTATTTCCAATTTCCATTCTGCTCCTTAAGGTTAATTTATAGTGACTTTTTTGTGAATCGAGGACAAAATAATTGAAGTTCTTGCAACTCTAAAGAGGGAAAATACAGTCCAGAATACATTCATGCTGAGATGCTGAGAAATCCTCTAACTTTTTCTTTGAGCAGCTTGAGGTAATTTAATGCTCGCTGATGTAAGGTATATGTGATCTTCATTGACCACACATAAACGAAAAATGTACACAAAGATTCCCAGCTAATTGCAGTGCTGTTTTTTTCTGTATATGTCACAAAACCCTAAAAATCTCATTAAGCATGCTGTCTCACTTTTAGAGATGAAATTTCACAAACTAGCATGTTTCAAAGAAGTTCTTTTTGGCAACGTTTCCTGGCTCTGACATAGAATTTAGGAAATGGGGGAAAACTGTGAGGTGATTTGGAGGAAGTTCCTGCTCCTAGCTTCCCTATTCTTCCTCTCCTACCCACACAGGAACATCATTTCTATCAGCTAATTTCATCAAAGTCTGTGAAACCTCTTTTGAAATAAGCCTTAGATAGGTGATAAGCAGTGAGCATTCGAATTTGAGTACCCTGGCTGAAGTTTCTAGCCCAAGGGTAGAAAAGAGGACTGACAGTGATCTGGAAGAATCATTTAGGTTGTACCCCTACCTAGGAAGACAAGGGCAACATAAGCTTAAGAAAAATAATAATTTTAGGTGGTTGGATTGAAGACCTTCTCCTGAGGTGATTTACCTCCTAAATAAGTGCCTTAGCCATTAAATCTGACTCATGCATCTTGAAATGCACTGGATTTCTCTTACAGAACTCTCTTTGCAGAGCCAAGACTAAGATGTCAGCTGGATTGACCTGCAGTCCTTGTACTTGTGTGGAAAGATGAGCCTGTTTTCCATTCTTTAACCCTTTATTGCTCAAAAGAAGCGCCTGTTATTGTTAGCATTATTAGAATTATGATAGTAGTAGCAATGATGATAGTAACAACAATAAAATTAAATCTGGGTTCTTTTCTGATTCAAGATATGCTTGAAAAAATCTGGAAGTTAAATTTATCAATAAGTTAAAACAATTCATTGGTCTCTTGTCTATAATTTTTATATTTCTCTTTGGATTTAGTAAAGTGAAATATAAAACTCCTACATGCTGAGGCCTGCAGTGAATTTTACAGGTGACTCTGTAAAATATAAACATAAGAGACCCTTACAGACTTTTGGGTGGCTTGGGTGTAAAATAGGAAGCTCTTAGCAACCCAGGCACAGGTTTGAAACCCATGTAAATGTTCTCATTAGGGCAGTGATTTTTATTTTTTGAACCATGTAGTCATGGAAAATCCTACATAGATGTAGTTATGAAGAGACCCACAGAAGCATAGTGCTGCTTTTATATCGCTTGAATGGCATCCCTGGTTGCAAGGTTTCTGCTGTTTGAACAGTGCTGCTGTAATTAAAACATTGCATCGTATGTGTACATGGGACCGGCGTCCTTGGCGGCACGTGAAAAACGTAGCAGAACTGTCCCTGGCAGGCTCTCTAAACTCTTCTAAAATGCCTTTCAGATCTCATAGGCTGGATGGACTATAATAAGGAAGGCCAGCATGAGGACCAGACTGCAGGCTCTGTCTGTCGCTCTTTGTCCACACCGCACTCAAATTCCCTCGATGTCGTTGCAGATGTACATCCAAAGTACCAGTGTGATCTGGTGTCTAAAAACGGGAACGACGTCTACCGGTACCCCAGCCCACTCCATGCGGTAGCTGTGCAGAGTCCCATGTTTCTTCTCCCCGTGACTGAAAACCCCCAGCGAGAAGAGGAGAGGCTTGGTTGCGATATTAGCGACGTTTGCGCCAGATCTGAAACAGACTCGGGAAAATCCACCAACGCCTTTCTCCCGCAAAGCTCCTGGCCGGCTCCGTGCCCCTCTACCAGCAAGAGGATAGATGGGTACATCTTAAGCCTGGTTCAGAAAAAGACTCACGCGGTAAGGACTAACAAACCGAGGACGAGTCTCAACGCCGATCCCACCAAAGGCATCTTGAGGCATGGAAGCATGTGCGTCAGGCAGCCCGCAGGCGTGGTGGCTCACAGTAACGTCGTGAACCTGAAGAGCTCCAAGCAAGCGTGCTTGCCTTCTGGTGGGACCACCGCTCTGGACCACGTGGCACCCTCCCCGTTAAAGCAGAGGCCGAGGGAGCCAGCGGGCGAGCAGCTGGAGAGTAGGAAGGCACCTTTGCCGGCGGCTTTCCCGCCTGGTGTAACAAGTGAACTTCAGACCAAACACCTGCCACGGGGCACCAAACCGGCACCTCTGGAGCTCAACCGCAACGCAGTGGCTGCGGCAGGGGATGTCCCCAAGGAGAGCAGCCAGCACTTTGCTGCATCTCCCAAAGAGAGCCCAGGGAAGCCCGTGGTGCTGCAGCCGGAGAACAGGGTGAGCCAACCTCCCAAAAAAATCCTGCTGAAGAGCAGCTTGCAGGTGGCTCGCTCCTCGTCACCTGCTGTCGAGGAGAGGCCCGTGCTGGATTTCAAAAGCGAGGGCTCTTCTTCCCAGAGCCTGGATGATGGGTTGCTGGTGAATGCCCAGTACATACCAGCCCAGCAGCAAAGTGTGAAGCTTCACAAAGGCACCCGAAATGTCAAGATTTTGAAAAGCTCCGTGCTGAAACACAGGCCCCACCTTGCCAATGGGCTGGAAAATGGTTCGCAGACCTTGCGGGAGAAAACCAAGACAGTCGGCAAGAAGTGCCGCTTTCCTGATGAGTTGGATACAAATAAGAAACTGAAAAAACCCTCCTCGAGGGGGAAGAGAGGCAGCAACTTGCAGCCGGAGTCAGGCCTCCAGAATCGGCAGGCTGGCCTCCACAAATCCACCATTCGATCCCACGGGCATGGCCGAGAGGTTGTGGTGGCCAAGCCTAAACACAAGCGGGCTGACTACCGCCGATGGAAGTCGTCGGCAGAGATTTCCTACGAGGAGGCCTTACGGAGGGCGAGGAGGAACCGTCGGGAAGGTGTAGGGGTCTACTCGCAAGTTCCTCTGCCCTACGTCAGTCCGTACGCCTACGTGGCCAGCGACTCGGAGTACTCGGCGGAGTGCGAGTCCTTGTTCCACTCCACCGTGGTAGACACGAGTGAGGACGAGCAGAGCAACTACACGACGAACTGCTTTGGAGACAGTGAGTCGAGCCTGAGCGAGGTGGAGTTCGTAGGGGAGAGCACAACCACCAGCGACTCTGATGAGAGCGGGGGCCTTATTTGGTCTCAGTTTGTCCAGACGCTCCCCATCCAAACGGTCACGGCGCCAGAGCTGCATGAAAATGCAGCAAAGGCCTTTGTCAAAATCAAAGCCTCCCATAACCTCAAGAAGAAAATCCTTCGCTTTCGGTCAGGCTCCCTGAAGCTCATGACAACTGTCTAGTGAGGTGACTTGGTGGAATGTATCTGCTTCTGCTTTCAGAAGCAAGGTGCTTTTGTGTACATATTTCCACAGATTTTTTTTTTTTATACAAATATTTAAAACTTAAGGTAAATTATGTCACTTGTCTTCAGAACTTGGGTGGATACTAGTGCCTTTTACGTGGAAATAAAAGACCATTATACTCGTTTTTAAAAAAACAAAACAAAACATAACACTGCCATTTCAGTGGTGAACAGCCTCCAGTGCATGGTGTCAGAAGGCTTTGAAAAAAGGCTAATGTTTCTGGGAATGGATCTTCCTTGCCTGAGTTTTCCAGTGCTGGGTCTTATACAGGATATCGACAGCTTAAGGTCATAAGTTTTTAGGTGATAAGGGGGAGGGAGTGTGGGTGGTCTTCATACTTTTGCTTGTCCCTTTCTGCTGCTCCTGTTGCCATATCTTGAACTTCTTCCTCCTGGTAGTCTGGCCTGTTTTTTTTCTTGTCGATAATCTTCCTGAAACTCACCCCTGTCCTTCCCCAGCTTTCCCTCACCAGGAAAGGGCTCCTATTCAATCTGTCTCGAAGGTTAAGTTGCCTTCTCTGGAGTGCACTCTGCTTCAATCTCCCGGGAGTTCTGCTGCAGACGGCAGTGGTGTTCAGAGTAAAGTCTTGGAGCAGCTGACCAGGGCTTAGTAACTTCAGTATAATGTGTACAACTGCTTTTGAAAAAAAAAAAAAAAACCCCATATGCATGTCACGTGCATGAGTATCAGTAGTTTTAATATTCCTGTTGATGTCCAATTTACTGTACATCATCAATGGCTGTTTTTATATATATATCATTGTGTAAATTAATATAACACATCATATGCTGTAATAAACAGTCTGTTTTAATACTTTTTTTAAAGTTTGTTGCATTGGTGCAGACCCAGTCAATGGTTTACTATTGGCGTTTTCACCACTTAGAATGTCACCATTTAGCCATGCAGGAAGCGGAGCAAGTTTAAAATGTTGCTGTGGATGTGACTTGTGCTTTGAGGGAAATGGATTATCATGGCCTCTCCTGTTCTTCCCGTAACTTGCATTTTTTTAAGGGCAAGGTGGGATTTAGGAGCTCAGGGACATCTTCAGATTGTTGGTTATGGGCAGCTCATGTTGCGGAGCAGATGGAAATGTAATAATAATCCTCCTTGCTGTCAGGGTGCTTGCAGACTTTGGTTGGTACAACACAGGGGCAGATGGTAGGTTTCTGTAACCAAATAGATCTCTGTAACGCAACAGGTGTCCCTCTGAAACGTCCAGTAAATGAATCCTGAAGAGCTGTGTGCTCTGGGAGCTGGGCTGAGTGGAGGAGAGCATAGATTTGCTGTCTCTGTTACCCTCTTTAGGTATGGTAGCTGGCTGTATCACAACCCTGACTAGGTTATGGAAAAAAGTGACAATTGTGTCACCCACCGGTCTCTGTCTCAGTTTTTCTTCCCATAGGACTGGAGGTGAGTCTGCCAGAAGAGGAGAAAGGAGCTAACTGTAGACAGCACTACCTCCCCTTTCAGCGGCAGCTTTGAAGCTGCCTGGTGGGAAGGCTGGAGGTTTATGGCAGGCATGTCTGATGGAGCAGGCCCAGAGCTTGAGCTAGTTTCTGCAGGTTCATCTTCTGCTCTGGCATCCATGAAGCTGCGGACATACAGCTGGCGTGGATGCTGTGACTGGTATGAATTTCAGGAATAAGTGTGCAGCCTGTCCGTTCCATAGCAAGATCTACTGAGCAGACACCTTTGTGGTTCCTCTGTGTCCTTCCTGCTGTCACCCACATGAAAGGCAGGGCAGGTTTTTTTTTTCTCAGGTTTCCTTGCATTGCAAATGTAGGAAGGAGAGATCCACCCAGAATTAAATGTCTCTGGGAGCAGCTTCTGAGACAGTGGTAACACATTTTCTAAGTGGCAGATTTTATTTTTCAATCTGCAGTGTAGTAAATCCCTACCTATAAAATGTCTCTCTCATACTATTTTTTTACTTTTTTACTAGAGGAATATCAGTTTCTGTAAATGGTCTTGCAGTGTGGTCACAAAGTTCTGGATTGAGCCACCCAGAAAGTCCTTGCACTTCCATCTTCCGTGATACAGGAAGAGTTGTAACTCATCTCATCTGGTCATAACTCTCCCATTGCTTTACACATAGAAGGGCAGCTTGTGTAGGGATAGATATATATATATAGATATATAGATATATATCTATAAAAATTTCATATACTGATAGAGAATATCTCATCTAGAAACTACTGGACAATGGCTGCCACTGCAGAGAGGGGAGATAAGCAGTGTTTGTTATTAAACATGGCATTACTAAGGCTAAGCAGAACCTTAATGCATTCCTGTTAATAACTGATGGGTGTTACATCAAACAAAGGGAATGTCAAGAAGCTTGTCAAAGCTAGTAGTTTCTTTCCTAGAATCTCTCAATCATGCCATATAATCTTTCTTTGAACGAGAAAACCACGTGCAAATCCCTGTAAATCTCCTCAAAGGTGTAGCAGAGCAGCAGAGAGGATCTGCAGACATGCACTCTGTCTCTCTGCCTGTAAAGGAGCCACTGGTGAGAAGACGAACCGACCAGTGGCTTTGGGATGATGAGTTTTTAATTGCCGTACTATACAAGATTGTCTTGTACCAGTTGAGAGAGGCTGGTTTTCGAAAGTGAGCTCCTGAATAGTTTCTTTCTTATCTTTTTAGATAATTGAATAATAATAAAAAAAGAGAATAACCACCTAAATATCACTAGGACCGTATCAGCTGCAACCACTGTATTCTGCAGTATTCTTGCTGAATAGCTTAATACCAGACAGGGAAATGGTCTGATGCTATCTCTATCTTAATTGCATCCGAGTCTTTTCAGTTTGGAGAAGGAATTTTCCTTTTCTTACATGATTTAGGTAAGCATCCAGAATCCTTTAAGCAGGCCTAGCTTTTTCTCTCTACATCCTCCCCTCCCTTTTTTTTTTTTTTTTTTTTTAAAGATCTTACAGTGCTGGAAAAGTACTTGGTATGGTCCTAATACACAACACACATTTCTTTTTCTCTGGTTCTGATTTAGGAAACGCATCTAAGTAAGTTTTTACAATGTTAGGTTGAAAAACATAGCTAATCTTGGGGACCAGTTAAATATCTGGCAGTTCTTTAAGCTACCTGGCTTTCCGACTCCACAGCCTTGAGTCCTTGCCAATGTATTTTTCATAATGTTTGTGTTTTAATTATCCTCAATGTTTATGGTAGTCTTTGGAAGTTTGAAGTGGGAACATTTGTCTTCAGCGCACTGGGGCCTATTTTAAGGTGGGAGCAGGTTGTGACAGGGAAGTTTGGGGTTAGCTATCCCCCTGCTCCATATATAACCGAGTACAGGAATGTACAGCAGCATATGCTTAATGCGAAGAACAAGAACAGATGCCTTTACCCAGGTTCCTTGCGATTCAGATTAAATAATGTCGCTGCACGTCTCTCAAGTGCCATCTCTCTAGTGCAGGAATCGGCATCGCGCACACTGTGAGGTGCTGACATCTGAAAAGGATGAGAGTATCCCTGGGCTCTCGGCCTTCCGGCAGGCTTTTTGAGTCTGTCTTCTGCTCCCTAACCCCAGCCACCAGCTGTGGCTCCGCGGATCATGAAGCAAGCTGTGTCTGGTGTGTGCGGGGTCAGAGAGAGGCCCTGGCTCCGTGCCTAGACGTCCCAACTGCGTGGGGCCCCTGTTGTGGCTATCACACTTGTGAGAAAGACGATGTGGTGCAGGGATTTGGACAGCTGGGTCTGAAGGAAGGTGGCAATGGAAAGCCCTTCAATGGAGCGGTCTGATCCCGATTCATCTCTGTTTCCAGAGGAGGCTCAAAGAGGAGGTGTTTCAGTCTAATGCTGAGCTCGGTAAGTTGGACCGGGCTAAACAGAGTCGTCTGAGGGAATCTGCCTCATTTCTTCCAGTACTCTTTAAATGACCAAGGCCACTATCAGCACTGCCAGTTGCTGAGGTGATTTAACCATTTGGCCAAGTCCTGCATGAGCTTCACAGAGAGCCTGTAGGTCCCAGCCCTTTTGCAGCTTTCCCTGTCCTGGGGCTTTGGAGGAAATCTGTCCATTCCTTTCAAGTTTTCTTCTGTCTTGGGGTTCATCCTGGATAGGGACTGACAACAGATTCTCCTGATAGAGTCCTGTGCCTTCACTAATCCCAAATCTATCTGTTTGTTGCCTCAGAGAAAGGCCAGGCACTCCTCAGCATCCTGCAGCCATCAAAGGCATCCTTGAGGGACCTGCATCCCTTTCTGCCCCAAAGGGCAGCACAGGCTTTTATTAGCTGTGGTCATCACTCGGCAGACAGCTCCCCACACCAGGCACTGCTTTCCCTCAACATGTGGTTTTTCTCACAGGAGGGAATAAGGACAAACATTTTTTTGGCAGAAACAGCTAAAGACATATTTAATAGCTAACTTCAGCATTTAGTATGTATCTTTGGAGTAGCCAACAACAATACATACAACTGAGCTGCTAGTACAAAAACCTGAACCACTCTCAACTCTGCAGTGTCCTGTGCACAGAGGATAGAGACTGCAAACCAGTGGAGACAATTCCTAAGCCCCAGATCTATCTTTCAAACTTTCTTTTCTCCTGAATTTCTCTGAACCTCCAAGGAATTGTGTTGAGGCTCCTTGCATGGCATGATGTTTCTCTCTAACTAAACATTATAGATGGAGCACTGTGGTGAGAAACAATTGCTCTGGGGTATAAAAAAAATCCCACAAAGCTGGAATGAGGGGAGACTTATGGAAACAAGTGGGAGGTCCATTTAAAAGGGATAATAGAAAGTGCTTTTTTACACAGCAGGGAATTTGCTGCCACAGGAAATAGCGAGGCAGATATAATGTCAGCAAGTTCAAAGGGGTTAGAGAAAGTAGGGAAGAATATGTGCTTTACCATCCCCAGTCAGTGACTGTGGGTGCTAGGAGGAGTGTGAGGTGAAGGAACTGCAAAGAGTGGCCGGGCTTCTGTGGTCCCCCTGAAAACAGTCTTTTGGGGCAACTGCTGAAGCACCGTTAGCTGGAGGAGATGCACCATCCTGCTGACCCAGCAGACCATTTCCAGTATTCCTGTGATCTTGGTGTAGCTGATGGGAGTTGTCTATGCAATTGAATTTCCTCACTGTTTATTAGTCTTTTGTCCTCCCAACTGCTGCTGAAGACGAGTTCTGCATTGCTTTGCAAAGGAGTTCACTTTGCATGCTTGGCTGATGGTGGCATGCATTAATTCAAACATGTCATGTTTCTGGTCACTCTTGTGCCATGGCAGAATAATTTCATCCACTCTTTCACACAGGCAGTCTGTGCCCGAAGTCCTCTGTTACAGTGAACATCATCCCCCTATAGTGCAAACACCATTATGGACATGGTCCATATATTAGTTTACTGTGGGAGTCACTTGGGCAGCAATTTACATCCTACAGTTGCTTCTAAAATGTAGGAAAAGTTGGTGGCCTCCAAACGAAATGAACCATCCTAGTGACAGAGAGCATCTACTGTACCCTGCCTTGGGACTTTGCTGTCCTTGGAGAGTTTTTCTCTCCCTCTGACTGGGTCTACATTTGTGCTTTTGTTTGGAGCAACAGAGCAGCCTGGAAGCGAATCCTGTTGTCATTTCCACTTTCTGCGTGTTGGTTTGGACAAGCAGAGCAGTTTTGGTGTGTGCTAGCTAGATGCATTTAGTAGATGGTCTACTTCAGGGGCTCAACGAATGTGCTTCTACCTGTACAGGGACAGGGACATGGGGATGTGAACCAGTGATGGCCTAGAACAGCTTCCAGGCAAAAAATGTGGACAAGTTTGGTGCAAATGACATTGGGGACCAGACTAAGTCTAGGCTGAAGTAAACACTTGAGCTGCGTATATTGTACTTGTGGGGACTGCAGTTTGGATCTGCTCCTTTTGTACTGAATGACTTGTTAATGTAAACAGAGCCTCTCAATTAACGGCCTTTGTTTCCATGCTGTAATCCTTTAAGATCAATAAAGTCTATTAACATTAATAACTTGATTTCACTGAGCCAAGCTCTGAAAATCTGCCTTTTGTTCTTTTAAAAGGAGTTGGAGTTGAAAGTCCTGGGAACTAAGACTTTCATAACAATACTAAAGGAAAAACGATATGATTTAGACTCTGACCTCATGATGTAATGGCTTTGTAAGCAAATTTAAGTGTTTTCTCCAAAAAAAAAAAAAGGTTCAACATTTCTGTGGTCAAGGGCAAGAAACTGGAAAATTTGCAACCTGTTGACAAATACGTTCCTTGTGTCTCCTTGCACTCTGTGAGCCTCGTGTCCTCAGAAATGAGATTTTCATGAGGAGGAGGGGAAACATGAGGTATGGGGAGGAGAAGGACCTAATCAATCTTAATCTCTGAAGTACTCATGCAGTAAGTGTTTAAGCATGTGATTAAGACCATTCTTAGTCAGCGAAGCATTTCAGCGCATGCTTTGACTACTTGGTGGTTGGGGTGAATTAAGCACATGCTCAGGAATGCTGGTGGATCAAGGTCTCTAAGCTTGTCTTTGCAAGCGTTTTATGTCTGTTTGTACAAGCTGTCCCAGTGACTTCTTTTGGCTAATGTTGGAAGAACTCCCTGCTCTCCCTTAAGAGCCAGACCCTGTATGGTGAAACTTGATTCAGACTGTTAATCTGAACTTGGGAGAAGCAGTATCTTGAGTCCATGCTTTAAGCAGTAATAGAAAGAACTATTAGGTTTAGAACTTTAAAGGACGAGGTGCATTTGCTATATGTTGAGGACACTGAGCGAAAACCACTTTGAGATATATAAAAGCGAATGTTCTTGTGCTCCGTTTCAATAGCAGGACTTTATATAAACCCTGTGAATGGCACTTGGGAAGAGACAGAATGACCCTTTCTACATTCGCTTCCTTCCCTTGGATGTCCAGGTGGAGCTGGGAGAATGATGCAGGCAAGGAGGGCCAAGCACAGACACCAAACCTGTAGGGCCTGAAGCACCACCCATTCATGTACCTGGCTAATCTTACTTGAATCCCGGTTTCAGGCAGTGGGATTAGCAAAACTGTGGGATCTCTGGGCTACCCAGAGATGGAGAACAGAGATCAGAAGTGTAGAGAGGGGAACTTTGTCTGGCTTCAAGGAAAGTTGCAGTTTGACTGAGCAAACAGTAGAGGCAAAGGAAGGGTTAAAAGTTTGTCTTCTTTTCCTAGACACATTATTTACAGTGGGTTGGTTTCCTTTTGGAAGAGCCCACTGTAAAAGGAGACGTTCCCAGCATTTCTGTGGGTTAGACCTATATCACGTTACAGTTTTCTTTCCTGGACTCTTGACTGACACGATTTCCTGAAGTTGCTCTTCTCTCGGGAAGGTGAACTCAGGAAAGAGTAGGAGTTCGCTAAAAATCCAGAGCCTTGGAAGGCAAAATCATGGTGATGGCCTTTTCCTTCTAGACATAAGGTCAGTCCTCAATGCTGCATCATGCTCTGTATCTCCCAGTGCAGGGCAAGGGCTGGGAAAGGAGTGGGAGAGGAAATCCATCAAGTTTGATAAGACAGCGGTCTGTAAATCCTGTTGGAGCAGCTTGCAAAGGCCGGGGCACCAACCACAGGAGCAGCGCCTGACTGCATCATGCGAGCAGCCATCTCACCAGGTGGCCAGTGAGGTCAAGGGCAGTGTGGCTGTTGACCTGGATATCCCGATCTCTGCTATTGCTTCAGCCACCTTCTTGCCTCCAGGCCACAGTAGACAGCGTGTTCATCCTGGTAAGTGTTTCCTTTACTTTTTTTTTCTTCTTCATGAAATAAATTGTGGCTTGGCATTAAAGCACAAGCGCTGACTGCAACTGAAGTTCTGGCTTGTTTCTCCTGTCAAACACCTCGTGATAGTGTTTTCCTTGATGTTCAGTTGCTTGCAAGGAAGAGAAACTATCCCCTTCTCATCTGCAACATATCCATTTTTTACAG